TGTTTTATTCTCATTTTTTAGTCCTCATTACTGACGTGACATGATTCAATCCCTTTATCTCTGAGCTGGTATGAACTCATTTATTGTGCGAGGGCGCCTCCTCTGGTGACTTGATGTTACATGTTTTCAGGCACTGATGTGTTTTCATTCATGTACAGATGGTTGTGTTCCTGTGACTCTCTGACTCAGTAATACACAGCAGAGTCTTCTGCCTGTATATTCTGTCCATTTAGAGTCGCTGTTTCTTTATAACATTATTATTGCTCTTGTCTCATTAGTTTAAAAATCTTTGACAAAATCTCAGAATTAATAATAATCACAAAAACTCACATATCTCTCAGCAATACTAACTGTGTAGTACTGTTAATGAATGTATCCATACATATACAAGTGTATACAGTTAGCACCAGGAGATGATACAAAGTCTCATCAGTGTCTGTTCAATATAAAGAATTACAATAGACCTCCTACGGCTCATATGATGGATTAGGGTTTCAATCATTTTTACTGACTTTACAACTAATGTATTTATGAAATGTTTGGATTTCCTATTTACGGGTAGAAAGAAATATAACCAATCTTTAATTGAGCAAAATTGAAGATAGGAACTATTATTTTATTTTTGACCATTTTATAGATGTATTCATTATTTCTTTACATGCTTATTCTGACTGGAGTAATAGTTCTCAAACTCTACATGCCAGCAAAATCAAATTTTTTCCTTTTTAACTTATTTTTGAACTTGGACTTTTGCAGTTAAAACCCCCCCTGCTGGATTGTACAGGATTGTACAGTTTAATAAATTGTCTTTCAGGTTGTCAGAGTGGCAGCCAAGTAACATTTATTTCATAATATAGTCAACTATATGTCATATTATAAAATAGACAAAGCTAGTTTAAATATTTTGAAGCCAAAAAAGCAGACTTCTTTAGGAACAATTAACACTTATTTATATGATTAAAATGAAGCAGTAAAAATAATCATTTTTTTATTTTTTTTTCTTATTAAAACTGAAGCTGAGCAAAAGGGGGAAACAACAGATATGATCGTTGTTTGTTTTTTTAACATTCAAACTCAAGACGTTGGCACGCTCATACAGAGTAGTATTTTTTCTGTAGGATCATGTACATCTGACTATCACATGCACAAAACTGTAAATGTATGTTTTGTTTTCTTTGAAATACAACCAAAGAGGGCAAATGAGCTCAGAATGGAAGGTGTCCTCGAATAGAACCCTGCAGAACTCCAAGAGAAACATAGACTGTTGTTGTAATCAAGTGATGTCTAAAAGTGTCTGCCAGACACAGGGCACTAAAACCAACTATCATGATAGAGAAAATCTCGCTGGCTCAGCACCGACCAGGACATCTTATGGTCAGTTAACTAAGTTTTAACAGTCTGTGTAACAAAATAAAGGGCAGGTTGTACTTACTTCAGTCAGTGAGGTCATCTAACATGAGAAAAGACGTTTCTTGCCCTAAAACAAATGGATGACAGAGAGATTTATCGTCCTTGGGTTTTTGTATGGCTGTTCATCACTGTGCCACCCCATATATACACGGTGATAAAGACTAGTACAAAAACCCTGCTGCGTCTCCTGAATAGTCGACCAATGGGAACAAGGCTGTTGTTGTACTTTGTGGATAGAAAAATGAATGGATGAATCTGTCTCAGTATTGATCATAGGACGTGACTCCTGTTGTTACAGACAGATTTAAAAACTGATCTGAATCTAAAATGGTGATCTTCCATTTTTAGTGTGTGGTTTGTTAGGTTATGGTTATATTCTGCTGAAATAGGGTTCAGAACTGTTTAAGTCATGTCAGTACCAGGTGACTCCACTGGTAGATATTCCTCCTTCTCTGTGAATTGTCTTTCTTTAACTTACTTCTTCTACTCTTTCTTCCTCATGCTTTCTTAATAATCTTCTTGAAATCCACTTTGGAGCATCCTTGGTGCCAGACACAAGTCTCAGTGTTAAGACATTATCTGGTCCACTTCCACTCACCACCATGTGCTAAATTAGAACTGACCGCTGTCATGGAAAGCATCTTTTTTTCTTTCGTCTTTCCCTCTTCTACCTTTTCCATATTGTACCTGTTCCATTTTGGTTATGGTTTTTGATAAATTCATTTGTTTTTGGTCATTAAAGACTGATCTACCCTTTCATATACTTTGTTTCTTCAGTTTCTTAACAATTAACAATGGAAATAAGAAAAAGCAGTTGCTTAGTTAACGATTTCAAATAAATGTCAATGTCAATGCCAAAATGGACCTGAATTTCTCCTAATGGTCTGTCAGTTCAGTAAATACTTAGAGGGTGGGATTTTGTACAGCTGTTAAACCAACTTCAGTCACTGTGGGTCTCGAGCACAATAATAAACTGCAGAATCTTCAGTCTTCAGACTGTTCATCTGCAGATACAGCTGTTGTTGGCTGTTGTCTCTGGAGATGGTGAACCGACCTCTGACTGAGTCAGAGTAGTAAATGTTGCTACTATCATAGCTAATAACTGCAATCCACTCCAGACCTTTTCCTGGAGCCTGTCTGACCCAGTGCATTTCATAGCTGCTGAATGTGTATCCAGAGCCTGTACAGGTCAGTCTGTGTGAATCTCCAGGTCTTTTAACCACTGCTTCAGACTGTGTCAGACTCTGACCATCAACACCTGTTGAAAACAGAGAGAGAAATTCTGTTTGTGCTGGAACTTGACTGATTCTAGGTTAAGCTGAGATAAAGCCCTTCACCTGCCCAGCAGACAGCTAACAGCAGCAGTCCTGTCCTGTACTCCATCATGTTCAACAGTGTGACCACTGATCTCTGTCCTCCTCTGTGGAGTCAGTTAAGTAGAGGAGGAGAACACAGGAGTTTGCATGGACTCCTCCTTACTGTGATCAGGAAAATGGATAGCACTGTGTCCACTCAATTCTTTCAGAAACTTGATTTTCTTTTAATAGTAGTAGTAGTTATCTTTAAATATTTAATAAATATACGTTTTTTAATATAATCAATAACAATCAATAAAACATAAACACTAAGCTGTTGTCCAATGTAAGATATAAATATATGAATTATTTTCCTTTAGTAACTGTATTGCTGAATGTGAATCCAGAGCCTGTACAGGTCAGTCTGTGTGAATCTCCAGGTCTTTTAACCACTGCTTCAGACTGTGTCAGACTCTGACCATCAACACCTGTTGAAAACAGAGAGAGAAATTCTGTTTGTGCTGGAACTTGACTGATTCTAGGTTAAGCTGAGATAAAGCCCTTCACCTGCCCAGCAGACAGCTAACAGCAGCAGTCCTGTCCTGTACTCCATCATGTTCAACAGTGTGACCACTGATCTCTGTCCTCCTCTGTGGAGTCAGTTAAGTAGAGGAGGAGAACACAGGAGTTTGCATGGACTCCTCCTTACTGTGATCAGGAAAATGGATAGCACTGTGTCCACTCAATTCTTTCAGAAACTTGATTTTTTTTTGTAGAAGTAGTAGTAGTTATCTTAAAATACTTAATAAATATAACCATTCATTATACAGTTTAATCAAAAATAGTCCAATGTAAGATATAAATATTTGAATTATTTTCCTTTAGTAACTGTATTTTGACATATTTTAATTTTACATTAACAGTGTTTTATTCTCATTTTTTAGTCCTCATTACTGACGTGACATGATTCAATCCCTTTATCTCTGAGCTGGTATGAACTCATTTATTGTGCGAGGGCGCCTCCTCTGGTGACTTGATGTTACATGTTTTCAGGCACTGATGTGTTTTCATTCATGTACAGATGGTTGTGTTCCTGTGACTCTCTGACTCAGTAATACACAGCAGAGTCTTCTGCCTGTATATTCTGTCCATTTAGAGTCACTGTTTCTTTATAATATTATTGCTGTTGTTTCATCATTACTTTAAAAATGTTTATAATATTATTGCTGTTGTTTCATCATTGCTTTAAAAATGTTTGTCAAAAACTAAATAATACAAATCACAAAAACTCACATATCTCTCAGCAATACTAACTGTGTAGTACTGTTAATGAATGTATCCATACATATATAAGTGTATACAGTTAGCAACAGGAGATGATACAAAGTCTCATCAGTGTCTGTTCAATATAAAGAATTACTCATTACTAATAGACCTCCTATGGCTCATATGATGGATTAGGGTTTTAAAAACCTGCCATGTCAATTCTTTTTTTAAATCATTTTTACTGACTTTACAACTAATGTATTTATGAAATGTTTGGATTTCCTATTTACGGGTAGAAAGAAATATAACCAATCTTTAATTGAGCAAAATTGAAGATGGGAACTATTATTTAATTTATGACCTTTTTATAGTTGTATTCATTGTTTCTCAGCTCAGAATGGAAGGTGTCCTAGAATAGAACCCTGCAGAACTCCAACAGAAACAGACAGTTGTTGTAATCAAGTGATGTCTAAAAATGTCTGTCAGACACAGGGCACTAAAACCAACTATCATGATAGAGTTCTTTAATTCAAAATGGACGTGTCCTTCCAAACTATTTTAATAATTTACATTAGCACACATGCTGATATGTAAATGTACACACAGACAGATGTGCCTTTTGATTCTAGGAAGTCTTTTTCTGACCGTTTGTATAGTTTCACAGTTGCAGGTGTAATCCCTCAGGCACGGAGTGAGTGAGACGTAGCTGTTTGAAGGCCACATGTTTAGAACCACCAGGAAACTGAAAGGCAGCAGAGCTCAACTGATAACAAAGGCTTCATGCTGTGTTGACTTGAAGTGGTTTTCGCTCAGATATTCTTAGATTTCTGTGTGAAAACAAAACTCTCAAAAGAACCACATCATTCAAATTCAAACAATAATAATTTTTTTATTCTCTCTGAACATTTTCTCCCATACAGTGAATTCCTGAACAAAAGAACCCAGAAATATGAAGAAAGACTTTCTTTTATTTTCAAATTAAGGATTGCAAAACTAGGGAACATGCAATTTTATTATTTTTTTATTAATTCCACACAGCAATGTCATTATTACATCACAAGAATAAGTACTGCAGTACCAGCTTTATCTTTCTGTACAATAGAAAAAGAAATAAACTACTCTTTGACATTTCTCTTATTTTATTTGAAGTTGAATCAACGTTCAACAATTTTTTGATAAAGAAAAAATTCAAAAAAGATAAACACATGGATTTTGTGTCAGACATCCGTTTGGTTCTATCGTCTCTTCACCTGAAAATGAAGAAAAAGACAATTTAGAAAAAGTGTACGTTAATAGTTTTGATTCAACAGAAGATTTGACACTGTATGTTTTTAGTAACACTATGATCTTTCTGAGTTTCAGAATGAAATCAAATGTAGAGTTAGTTTTTTTCTAATTCATTTACTTTTTTTAAAATTGTTTATTCTTCTACAATTACAATCAACACCATAATAATTCAGTTATAGGGCTGACATCTTGTGAAATCATGTTCTTTCATGATTTTTCTGATGCCTTCGAATGCATCACAAATGTAACGTTTGATGCTACACCATTTAGATGAGAGTGGTGATACATGACAAGACCATTAAAAGCCCTACATCCACTGTGTTTACACCTGGATTCATTTAAAATGATCTTCTCTCGCTCATGTTTCTCTTGCCACTCCAGACTGTGTACACATCTCTGGAACTTTATTTCAGTAAAAGACAGAGAAGGCCTGTGTGTTTACCTTGACAAAGCTGAATATTATGTTATAGAAGAGAGAAGATATAAAGAGAACTATGAAGGAGCAAGCTGTGGACCACAGACTGCTGAGTTCATCCTCCACATTGTCTTCTAGAGGATTGTCTGGGACGTTAAGAACCAGACTCTGGTTTATTTCTAAGGGAAAAGGAGAGAACAGACAGGTGATTCAAAAAGTGTGTGTTTTGTGTGTTTTGTGTGTTTGTGTGTGTGTGTGTGTGTGTGTGTGACCTCGACCTTCATCTCCACACTTGTTGATTTGAGCTGTTCCTCTGATCTACTCATCTCTAACACAGTACCAGTCCATTCTGGTCACTACCAAGGAAACTCTCAGCGTCTCTACAGTAACTCCAGCTCAGTCTCTGGTCCCTTTCAATGTCTCCTGAACATTTGTCATAGCAGCTCTCACTACTATCCCTCTGTTACACACCCCCGTATTCAAATCAATCTGAAAACTGTTAATCACTCTCTGGTGTGTTGAGTTTCAATTGGGTACTTGTAAGCCTAACAAACAAGAATGTACTTTTTTTAAAGTGATAATGTGGTTTGTGTTTCTACTGATAAATCCTGGAGTCATTCACGAACAGGTAACCACATCTCTCCATGCAGCATTTATTTCAACACACTTTTCAAGCACTTAGACAATGTGACAAAGACATTTTGAGGACAAACAACACTGAGGGGACTCTTATGTGTACAGTGACATTGATCGATGACATCACAGAGCACTGACGTCCATGACAGGCTGTAGACACAGAGACAGAACAAGGTCTCAAACAACTAGTTGTCACATTCACAGGAGTTACCCAAAGCTTTTGACACTCCATCCATTACTATGGACTTGGTGGTGCTGCCAGCGGGCCAAACGCTGCAGTGAAACATAATTTCCTTCTCCCACTTCTCCTTGGTGGTGGTGTAAACACTGGTCACCAAGTAGCCCTGCTTTGTCTTCTGTGGCAGGAAGTTGATGCCATCGACGTAGTTGCCGGCTCCTGTGCCGTCGTGTTCAGACCAAGTGATGTAGTAATCCTGCAGCACAGCACTGGTGACCAGACACACCATGGTGACCTCAGCCGAGGAAATGCTTCCTTCTGGGAGGATGTGAACTTTCACCTCTGGTGGTCTCCCATCTGGAAAATAAATCTTGGTTTACACTGAGATTGAGCCACATTTGTTTTCATTGAGAGTCTCTACCAGTGACGTACCTCCTCTGTTGACAGTCAGATCTTGAATTACTGGAGTGCGGTCTTCTAAGGAGGCAGAACATGTCACTGTTTTGACCTTCTGCCACCCGGGGAGGTCACGGGTCATGGTGCTGTTTTTGATGTGCTGTCCGTCTTTGAAGTTTGTCGTCTCAGTCACATCGGCAGAGACAGGTTGACCGTCCACCGTCCATGTGATGTTAGTGCTGCCTATGATGGTCAAGTCTTGTCCAGTGATGACACAGTCCAGCTTTGCTTGGTTATTATTGAAAATGCTTTTGGCACTGGGTTGGTTCAGGGTCATTGTGAAAGGAGCTGAATGACAGTGACAAGAAAATGGTTACAACAAGATTTATTTTTTTGCAGATCCTGTAAGAAAATGTAAGAAGAATGTTTTTATTAACTAAATATAAGCACATTTAACTCACTTTGCTGACCCCTCATTCTCTTATTTGTGATAATGACATCTCTTTTGTTCATTTTGGTCTATACACCATGTTCCATGCGGCTTTGATTTCTTAAATCTAAGAAATCTAAGCATTTCTAATCAGGATTTATTTAAGTCTAAAATTAACAAACTTTCTTTTATTTATAAGACAGATCTGACACTGTAATAAACAGTTAGTTATGTTGAAAAAAAATCTATAATTAGTGAATTAAAATATTCAATAAATGTAATATAAACCAGGGAGTACTTGTTATAATGGCACTGTACCTTTTGAGATCTTTTTCACATATAACTGGTTGTTGTACTGTGCCTCACAGGTATAAACATCATTATTGTCCCACTCTGTGTTTGTGACCTTCAGGACACTGAAGGCTGAAAACAACCCTCCAGACTTTTTGAAGTCACTTTCCATGTAGTTTCTCTGCTCTGCGTTGCTCTTTTTCCATTTAAATGATTGAAATGTTCCTTTAACCACGTCCTCAATCAAACACACCAGGGCCTGAT